AGTACAGCAGGGTCGCACGACTTCAACGTCATGCCAACTTAAGATCCATGTTGAAAAATACAGATTCAAAAAAGTTGAAGCGTGTGTTTTAACAGTTTGCAGAACTTGCTTTCAAGCAGAACAGGGGCAAACAAACTTAGAGGAGTGTTTACGTGTTCGGCGTAATCCTATTCAGCCACTTGGTAACAACCATCGTTTTTCAGACACGTACACTCTTCAGAAATCACCAGTGGGGTCACTGCTGATGGATTTAATGTCGTAGAACAAAACGTCATCCGTTTCTTCAATGTGTCTCAACCACAGACCTTATTTCCAGCTATTTTCCAAAATCCTATGTAGAAATCCCATTGGCTCTGAGACGAGGGAACAGGAAGTGGTAAAATGCTAACTCACTTCCGGGTTTTAGGACTCGTCACTGCACCACTCTATTCATTTACATATTCAATTATTAATATATCCAACCTTCAAACTGCCATTTTAAATCAACTTTGCTCTGCACACTTAGTAAAGAGCAGTACAAAGCAACTACATGAGGAGTGACATTATCCTATTCTTAAATATATTAATGTAAACATATATCACTCAGTAGTATTCTTCATGTGTCAATGTGAGGGGCCCAGACCTTGGTATGTTTCTCTGTATGTGGCCCTCAGTGAAAACAGCTTTGACCCCCCTGCTCTAAGCAGTAAATATAATACAAATTAAATCCTAAATATTGAATAACAAAGTGAAAGGAGAACACTTCTGAGAGAGAGACAGTGATTCCACCACAGTTAAGAAAACTGTCTGCAGCCTCTTGTACCAGCTTCTAAAACCAAACCACAACAACAGAATCTGAAACACAGACACTGGGGTTTTCCGGAACTGAATGAGCCATCTCACATCCTTCTCATCTCTGCTCACATTTGTAAAGGGGAAAGTAAAAATCAGCTTTGGGCAAGTAGACTTCTGACCCTCTTGTACGGCAAGTGATAACAAATGTTAGCGATGAACTCTGGGGTTTCTGGGTAATGTGGCCGAGGTTATTCCTCCTGCTCTACAATCGTTTTTAGAGCTCTGCTGAGGGCTCACCACACACCTGACTGCCTACAGGTACAAAAAGTTGCTTTGAAAAGCCAGAATTCACCCTAATGAAAATAAACGTCTTAACAAACGTGCCCCACTTTGACCTGTCAGAGTTTGACATGTGACATTCAGAGACTCTGCGTGTGTGTGCTAGCTCTGCTGTGTTCATCTATATGTTTATCAAGTGGGGTTACATGGGGAAAAGACACTACATTTATTGACACCTGGCAGAAGTGAAAGGTCACGTTTTAGCTGGTCATGTGACCATGTCAGTTCAACTCCCAGCACTGATAGGATGTGTTGCCAAAACAAGATGAAAGCCTTTAGAGAAGAAGGTTAGAGATGGAAATAACAAACCCATGGCAGTTTGCAGACTACAATGTGACAGAAGTGGATTAGGTTTCATGGATTCATACAAAAAAAATGACCTTCTATGTGTGGGTGTGTCGACAACCAGTTTTCATGTTGATGTGAACAGACGCTGACTTTTTGTGTGTGTGTGTGTGTTACTCTGCTGTGTGTTTACTGAAACCACAGAAGTCATTTACTCTCACACACAGCTTGTTTCCGCAGGACATTTCTTCGACTGCGGCTAACCTCAAACATGTATCTGACATTGCACAGTGTCACAACACGCCGTACCATTGTCCCAGGATTTATTGGAGATTCCTGAGAGAGGATTGTACTTTATGTTGTACCTAAAGGTTACTCAGACAGAATAAACAGAGCCCAGATAACCCAAACATAGGTTCAAACTGGACTGAATGTCATTCAAACAATCATTTTAATATAATTTATAGATTCTTTTATATTTTTAACATAAGCAGATCTTGAATCAGCTGGACAGATTCGTTACATTACAGCCTAACTGGTATTACTGTGTGTTGTCAACTCATCTTAATATTCTTAGAAACCCAGAGATGAGTCAGGATTTCATCACTTCCTATCCCCTGATCTGAAGGCCAACGTTTTTTGGTTCTGTGTTTTACACAAGCAAGTGAGATTTTTACGTTTTGTTCTACAACATAAAATACGTTACAGTAAATACCCCACTGGTGAATGAAAAACGGAGGTTGCTAACAAGTGTCTAAATGAGATGAATAAACATCATCCCGCCCAACATTATAGCCACCTTTACCTTAGCGGTGTTGACGTGAAGTCATGTGACCATGCTGTAGTTCCTTTATAGCCCAACATTAGCCGCCTTTAGCTTAGCGCTGGTGATGTGAAGTCATGTGACCGTGCTGTAGTCCCTTTATAGCCCAACATTAGCCGCCTTTAGCTTAGCGCTGGTGACGTGAAGTCATGTGACCGTGCTGTAGTTCCTTTATAACCCAACATTAGCCGCCTTTAGCTTAGCGCTGGTGATGTGAAGTCATGTGACCGTGCTGTAGTTCCTTTATAGCCCAACATTAGCCGCCTTTAGCTTAGCGCTGGTGATGTGAAGTCATGTGACCGTGCTGTAGTTCCTTTATAACCCAACATTAGCCGCCTTTAGCTTAGCGGTGGTGATGTGAAGTCATGTGACCGTGCTGTAGTTCTTTTATAGCCCAACATTAGCCGCCTTTAGCTTAGCAGTGGTGATGTGAAGTCATGTGACCGTGCTGTCGTTCCTTTATAGCCCAACATTAGCCACCTTTAGCTTAGCAGTGGTGATGTGAAGTCATGTGACCGTGCTGTAGTTCCTTTATAGCCCAACATTAGCCGCCTTTAGCTTAGTGTTGGTGAATGTGTGTGTGTGTGTGGGGGGGGTGTTGTAGCTTTATCTTGGGGATGTTTTGAAGGAAGATGTAATCAGGAGGTTAACCTGACCGCAGATAAATAACACTGTACAATAAATCCCCTCTGGCTGGAAGAGAACTCTCTGCTCCATATTTTCTCTTGTACTGTTTGTTTGTTTGTAGCCTTTATTTATCCAGGTTAAAAATCCCATTGAGATCAACGATCTCTTTTACAAGGGAGACCTGCGGTACATTGAGTTACACATATAAAAACAAACAGAAAACAAAAAGGACATCACAACATAATTACAGGGGTATACATTAGCATCTATTTACATTTACAGGTATCCAATAATATTTCATCCAGTCGTGCTTTAAAATGATGCAAGGGAATCAAAATGCTGAGTTTCAATATTTTTTGCATAGTGTTCCAAGCTAGAGGAGCAGCGCACATAAAAGCTTTAGTACCTAAAACAGTCCTAGCACTTGGCACATGTAATAAAAACACATCCTGTGATCTCAGGCAATAGCTACTTGCCACTCTCCGTGAGATCAAGGAGCAGATATAAGAAGGTAGTTTACCCAGCATGGCTTTGTAGATGAACATGTACCAATGACTGAGCCTCCGACCAGTAAGTGAAGGCAGACCTGCCTTGGCATACAGGGTACAGTGATGAGTAAGTGCTTTACAGTTAGTAACAAATCTCAGAGCACTGTGATAGGCGGCATCTAACCTTTCCAGGCAATGGGCAGGTGCATTCATGTAGATCAAATCACCATAGTCTAGCACAGGTAAAAAGGTCACAGTGACTAGCCTTTTTCTGGCTTCAAAAGAGAAACAGGACTTGTTTCTGAAAAAGAAACCTAATCTAACCCTCAGCTTTTTAAGCAGATTAGTGACGTGAAGTTTAAAAGTAAGACAATCATCAAGCCAGATACCAAGGTATTTATAACAGGTAACCACTTAGAGTACTTGTCCTTGCATAGTAACAATATCTAAAGCAGTCTCTGGAGTCTTTTTAGCTTTAGAAAAGAGCATTACCTTGGTTTTCTCAACATTTAAAAGAAGCTTTAGTTCAGAGAGCTGAGTCTGAATAATGTTAAAAACAGCCTGTAATTTAACAACCGCCTCCTTAATGGAGGGACCTGCACAGTACATCACGGTGTCATCCGCATAAAAATGCAAAGTAGCTTCATCCACATTTTCACCTAAACTATTGATGTAGATGGAGAATAAAAGTGGACCTAAAACAGAACCTTGAGGAACACCATTAGCAATGTTCAACCACTCAGAAGACAGCCCATCAAAATGAACACATTGGGACCTTTCAGAGAGGTAGTTCACAAACCACCCCACTGCATGGCTGGATAAGCCAATAATAGTAATAAAACCACGTTGTACATTTTACATTTATATAATCTGTTCAATATTTAATATTAATATTCCATGTCATATATTTATGTATATATATATATTTGTATATATAATATCTTGTCAAATTCTACATATTTTCTATTTCAACATGTATATTTTCTATTTTCTTTTCTTTCTATTCTTGTTTATTTCTAGTTTTGTTTTATTGTAAAATGCCTTGTCTTTTATGCTGCAGCAACAAAAACAATTTCCATCTAAAGTACCATCTTATCTTATCTCTTATAAAGAGCACAGTGACCAGACACAGCCTGTTTGTGGGTCTTCTGTCTCTGTGAGGGTTAGACCTTGAGAGAATATTTTTAGAAAGTAAGGACATTTCGTCCATTCGCCACCTCTGCTTTATGGCAATGGTGCAAACGTTGAAACCCATTTTTAAGCATCAGAAAAGAGGAATACCAAAATCTAGCTCCTGTTCAATTCTCAAACTGTGATATCTGTCAATCAATGCCTGTAGGAGAAGCACTTAAAGCTGTGAGATAAAGTTACTTCTCATGACTGAGGTGTGTGTGTGTGTGTGTGTGTGTGTGTGTGTGTGTGTATGTGTGTGTGTGTGTCTACAGCTAGGGGATGTTTCTTTTTTTCCTTAACTGCCACGCCCTAGTTTCCTTGACTTTAGAGAAAACCCCACCAACACACACACACTGGTATGCATACTGAAAGAGAGGGCTTGCTGCTTCCTTTGGTGATTGGATGGTTTGAAGATTTGAAGACTCTGATTGGCTGTTAAAAATTCCAGGTGTTACACAATGAAAGGAATAAATAGAGACAAACAAACCAGGCAAAATTAGGAAAATATTTCCACAACTTTTATGGCTTTACAAGGATGTTAAATTGGACATACATTTAAGCTTGGGGACATTTATTTTAAGATTATTACAGGAATTTCAAAGGCGGTTTCTGTAAACAACAACAAGCCAAGAGAAAAAAAAGAAAGCTTTATCATCATGATAAGAAATAAAAACACCATGTATATTTCCAAAAGTCTCACAAATTGTTTACAGTGTATATTTCTATTATTTACAGTCAGGGCAGTTTTTATTAAGGCAGCTTGTGTCATCTTCGAACAAACACACAGGTTGCGTTAGGACAATAGATGTTAGGAATACATTCTGTGCTGTGTGTTATCCCAAACTGGAGAAATAAATATGTTGAAAATGATACATTGTCTTTTAAATTCAGTAAGAGCAACTTTGAGAATTTTTGGAAACAAATAAATACTTCTCTCACTGGAGATCAGTGCAGGTGGAAGTCTGAGATCACACACAACCTACCAACACAAACAATACAACTACAGCAGCTCCAAGCCAGGACAAATCCTCTGAAGTCCGATGATAAAAAGCATACATATAGATTAACCGAGAAACTGAACTTCACAGAACAGGAAGTGGAGCTCTTTTAGTTTTTTTGTGCGCTGCAGGGGAATGCGGACAGAGTGTAAAGACAGATTAGTGATATTAGGCTGATTTAAATTTCTTTTACATTTTCAGATAAAAACCAAGGTGAATAATCTAGTTTAAAATAACTTCCACCCTGTTATGGTAAAGTGGTTTAAAAAGGAACCGCCATGGATCTCACCTTCCCTCATAAACTGAAAACATGTTGCCCCGCCCGTTTTTCTTCTCTTCTCTTTTCTCCTGCTTCACCTTCACCACCTGACTCACCCCTGCATGTTGAAGCTTGTCCACTCATGTGTTCCACATAAGGAGTGTGAGATGAGGATCCTGGACCACAAACAAGGGGGATGAAGGTAAAGCAGGAGAGGGAGAAACCCACATCACAGTGAAGATGAAGGAGTGTGTGTGTGTATCTATTCCTATTGTAACTTGTTTTTAGACTTCACAGCCTGACTGATAATGTATTTTAGAAGCTGATATTCATAGCGAAGGTTATACAATGCTATGTTTCTCAGAAGAACATTAACAGTTTTTCGTGGTGAACTTTTCAACTAAGTTAAGGAATCCCAATGTTAGGGAAATCACTCTAAGACCATTAAAGGTAGGGTAGGTAAGTTTGAGAAACCGGCTCGAGATCGCTAGAATTTGAAAATACACAACCGGAGAAAATCTGCCACTTCCTTATAGAGCCCCTCCTCCAACACACACGAACGCGCACATGACCAATGAGGGCACGAGATAAGTTTGTGCACAGATGGAAGGCTGACAGGCAGGTAGGCCATCTAGTTAGGCCGGCTAAAATGATTGGTCGTGCTTTTTACAGTACTACGGCTTCCACAGATGACATTTTTTTATGGATTTTTTGTCAAAGCACTTAAGATATTCATTGCTATCGGGATGTTAAGAGCATTCCATGGAATATAACAAAAAGTGTATCTCCAGCCGGTTTCTCAAACCCTACCTTTAAGACCCAGTTAAAAATAATTATAGTTAAAAATGTACTTGTTTCTGATTGGCTGGCAGGTAGTCTTTAAGGAAGTGAAGGTACCCCAAAACCTCCAGAGGTTTAAAGATGTTTTCAGCCTAAAGCTCAGTAGTTTGAGCGTCTGTGTTGTGAAACCTGAGGTATTAAGGATCAACATGTCCTATAATGGAAGACTAAACTGAAACATCCGCTGCACTCAAGACCCCCCCCACCAGGGAACCCCACCCGCCTGGCACAGAGAGGGAGATAAATCAAAGCACCAAAAAACTTCAGATATTATTCAACCCCTGAATCCTGATTGTCAACGTGTGTGGCCTGTGTGTATGTGTGTGTGTGTGTGTATGTGTGTGTGTGTGTATGTGTGTCCTCCTCAGGTTTCAAGCAGCATAAAGAGAGTCACTCATCGCCTGTCAGCTTCAGTGCAGGAAACGTCTCTGTTTCTCCGTGTTGTTAGCTTCCTGAAGGAAGTGGCAGGACACAGGGTGAAGGATGACGTTTGTTAGCACCAGGTGGAAGAGAGGAAGAGAAAGAGGTGAGGATCCAGTGATAGTGGACGAAAGTGGAAAAAGCTTTAAAAAACCCAAAGTAGATCAGAAGATTGCAGCTAGTAATCCAAACTGATAGAATCCGTTGTTTGAGGAAAATCTAGTTTCCATTGTCCTTGCCAGCCAGAGAGAGACAGAGACAGAGGGGAATTATGGGAAATGGTTTAGCGAGGGCTTGGACTGAACCAGCTGGGTCCAACTGGACGCTTCTCCCGGCTGTACAGATGCATCATGGGAGACGAAATGGTCTGATGTTTGGCCAGGGTCTCCTAAAAACAGGAATGAGAGAGGAAAGTGTGAGCAGAGCTGCAAATATCTCCTGTTTTAATGTTAACACACACACAAGATATTTTAGAGGATCTTGGTGTATCTTCTAAAATATTTCATATCAGATTGTCTAAGAAAGTTTAGCTAGTGCTTGTTATCAATTTTGAAGACGTACTAGTGTAAAATGATATCTTTATATATGTTTTCATCACGGCCACTAAACTAAGAATTCTATCTTATCATCTCATGTAAATGAAGGAAACACACACACTTAAAAACCTGCACACACACTGTATGTGACTTCACCAGCTTTGTTTGGCCAACCAAGAGGAGACAGCCTTGGTGACTACTGTTTCAACAGAGACTGCTCAAAGCACACACACACACACACACACACACACACACACACACAGCATGGGAGGAGGAGTGTGTGTGGTCACTCTCTTGAAATATTATATATCAAATTGATATATAATATGATATACTATCTTCAAAATCCCTCAATGTGTCCACACGTGCCTGCAGCCTCTTGTACCAGACGTATGATGGATAGAGGGAGGTGGATGAGTAACGCCGGAGGTGTAAAGTAACTAAGTACATTTACTCGAGTACCGTACTTAAGTACAATTTTGAGGTATTTGTACTTTACTTGAGTATTTCAATGTTATGTTACTTTGTACTTCTACTCCACTACAGTTCAGAGGTAAATGGTGTACTTTTACTCCACTACATGTATTTAATACCTTTAGTTACTTTACAGATCTGGATGAATGATGTGAAATATAATCAAGTGTTAAATCAGACGTTGTACATGTACATTTACTACATCAATTGTGTTTGGGAGCACGGCCCTTAGAAACACAGTTCATTCATTGCATGCTTTTGAATTAAAACATTATAATAACTTTATTGATTTCCAAAGGTCCTTGACCTGATGTTGTCAGCGCTCAAAGTTACTAACTTTAGCAGATAAATGTAGTGGAGTAATAAGTACTATTTTTGCAGTAATTGGAAATACCCAAATAAAGTACAAGAACCTTACTATGGTACTTTACTTGAGTAAATGTAGGTAGGTTCTGTCCACCACTGGCCATACATAAATACACATGTGACGTGTGTGATCAGAGGGACACACTCCAGCACTCCCTTTACAACAGTCTTTAACTTTACTCTAACATAGTTCAGATCATATCAGAATAACATATTTGCATTTAGTTACATTTCTATTCAGCAGTTTATGTCTGCTTATAACCTGACTTTGGGTTTGTGTTGTCAGAAACATGGTGTCTGCTTGTTATGAGACTCACCAGCAGTGTGCAGGAACTTCTTTAGTACGGAGACTCGACCCTGAGGAGAGAGGAAGATATCAGCACAATGACTTGACAGCGACACAGCGTACCATACACAGGATACACAAGATTACATATGATTAACGGGTTGAATGCGATACTAACAAATACAAATATTTTGACTTGAGGGATGGATAATGCTTTAATATCTTGGCTCACATTATTATCAGCAGCAATAACCTCCCCTGTGTTTGGAGAACATTCTTTGAAAAACGATTGTGGTTGTTGATGTACTGACACATCAATCTGACGGACAGCTTTATCATTTCCTTGACGTGCTTTGAGGATGATTTAATCTTAACCCCCACACGCACACGCATTGATGCAAACCGCAGAGATGGCTGCTGTTGCCTTTAAACTTCCGAAACTTTTAAAAGTCGCTCAAACATTCATGTCAGCAATTTGAAACAAAAGCCAGTGTGGCGTCTCAGAACAGTTTCACTTCAGGAAGTCTGAGGATTTAGAAGAAGACACAGCAGAGTGGGAATGGTTTGTGTGAGATATATGTTCTCAACGTATCACCCAATAATAATATTGATCTGGTTCTAGCTGGGTGTAATCAGGCCAATAAAGAGAGTGGCATTGAGCAGATTGGAACTAATCAAAGAATGAAGACGTGGCGTCAGGTAATATCTCTGACAGATCTCATGTGGAAGTGATTCAGTGATGTGAGGCCATCTGGCAGGGCTCCTACTACTGAGGGCTGCACACATTAAACACTTGTTCAGGCTGGGGATGACATGTAAGACCAACCTTACAAGTAGCAAATCAAACAAAAAAAGAACATAAAAGACTACTCCCCATTCTAGATTTAAAATACATTAGAAATAATGAAGACATGTAATACCAGTTATGGCATTATTTTGAGATTTTGAATAAATGTCTATTAAACCCTGATCGTTGACAATGTGTTTCAGTTATTTAGAACGCATAAATCTATTTCAAATATGAATATGAATAAACGTTCCTTGTCTAATTCCTTAAGGTCCTATTAGTGCACAGCTCAGCAATCTGTTCAGCGCCAGAAACACACGTTCACAGACAACTTAATAACTAACATTGTGAAACGGTCAAAGGTCAGACAACAGGAGCCGAGGAGAGGACCCAGTCTTTGATGAGGACAGACAGAAGCCTCATCTCAATACCCCTCCTCGACTCCTCTCTTCCCCTCCTCCGGGACTTGACCCGGAAATCGATCAAGACACGCCATTTTGAAGGACGTCCCAATGGCTGAAATGCACACGGAGGAGTCGAGAAGGGGTGAGGGAGGAGGGAGGAGACGAAAGGGAGGATACACGAGAGCAGACTACGCGGAAGTGTTTTCACTACTCGTGTATCAAAGCCCCGCCCCCACCTTCACAGCTGGTCGATTTCAAGAGAGGAAAACGGAGAACTGGAAGAATGAGTGGAAAAGCGTCACATAAATGTAGAAGTGCTCACAGCTCCGTGGGAATTATTATGTGCAATTCATTTCTTAAGGTTATACTAACAATTGAAGTCATGTTTAATGATCTTGAACATCACTAAAACATAGCTATTAAGAAAGCTTCATAACTGGCTAGATCTTGATAAATAACAATTATTTTATAGTTTTGTGTTAAAATATTCAGGAGTTAAATGATTTAAAATGCACAGTCCTGAATGTGGGTTTGTGGTGAATGTGGGGATCTACAGGACACACATGTTCAGAGTAAAGGCTTTCACATTATTATAATTGTATTTTTATTTAAATGTAGGCTACATTTTACACCAAAACGGAACACAAAAGCAGGACCAACCATCATACATTGAATTCCTTGACTAACAAGAGAAAGATTCATCATTGAAATACATATTTAACAACAAATGGGCCGGTTCTAAGGGGTTATTCAGTTAAGCCCGATGAGAGGGGATACAGCTGTGCACATGTCATCCTTAACAGACGTCGTTTAAGAGTGACGTTTGAGTGAACGAGGACGTCCCAATTAATACCTGAGGACCCCTCTGTCCTCGCGTCTCCTCCTCGTGTCTCTCGCTCGCATCTTACGGAGGCGGAGCTAAGACGCAAGGAAGGGACGCGAGTGAGGGAAAGGAGGAGTCGAGGAGGGGTATTGAGACGAGGCTACAGTGTCTTCAAACAGAAAGAGTTACATAGAGGAAACACAAAGCAGACTCAGAGCCTCCACGTCAGCCTATAGCTTTGCTAAATCATTAAGAGCAGGGGGGTCCAAACTGTTTGCACTGAGGGCCACATACAGAGAAACATACCAAGGTCTGGGCCCCTTACTAGAGGTGAGGTATATTGCCACCTCGTAAGTTAACTTATAAGTTAGCCAAATCTATCAAATGTAGGGAAATGATGCTTGAGACTTGAATATGCTTTAAGAAACAAACACCACAGCTCTCCAGAGGGTTTACTTCGTCTTGTTGGCAGCTCATCCTTTCAAACAGAAGCCTCAGATCCCTTATGTATGAAGGGTGTATTTCAGCTGCTCATGCTCATGGGCTTTTATCAACGAAGATTTGTTAGAAAATGTTTTCAACTTTAATTGACTGAATGTATTAGAACATTAAAACATGAATACTACTAAGTAATATATGTTTACATATATATTTAAGAAGTACAATATAAGACAAGCAGAACATGCAGGTGTGGGCCATATACCATTATATTTTAAGAATTAGCTGAGGGCCGATTCACAATGGCTGACGCTTCTCCGTTTAAATCCAGACAGTACGACTCATAGTTAGTCGGTCTGCTACTCAAACATTATGGCGGGGAATCAAATGGTTTGAAGATGAACACACACTGATGTGAGATAAACAAGAGAGGAGATAAAGTGGAGGGTTCGAGAGAGATAAAGGCGAGCAGCGACACTAACGAGAGCTGAGGAAGACGAGTGCAGACATGACAGTGACATTCCTCAACCATTCCATTCTCTGAGCCCCAGCCTCGCCCCGCTCACACACACTGCTGCCTCTGTGTGTCACTCACCACTCATTTGGTTCAACACTGAATCCACTTTAATAAATGAATGAGTTACAAGATGAAGCAATGCCAACTCAATATCAGACATCTGAATCTTAACGTAAAGCTTTCTCACATGAGCAGATGTGTGTGTTCTGATGTGTGTGTAGTGTGCTCTGCGTCTTCGCAGGCTGGACATGTGGAGCCTCAAAAAAAAGCTGTTTTATTCAAAACATCCAAAGAATAAATATGTTGTGGTTATTGTTATAATAAATAAATAAAGGGTAGTGTTTTATGACAATTACAGTTAGATTGTTATTTTTACTGTACAACTATCATTTCCCCAACTTTAATAGTACCACATAACTACAGCAATGAGTTTAAAAATCCAACAGAAACCATGAAACAAATATTTTGACTGTTCACAAAAAATGAGTTGTTAGTCAACGTACACTGATGACCTTTTTCTCTGGATATTCATGCATTGACTGCATATCTACAAAGCACTTTCCTCCTAACATGATGATGACGCAGGACAAGAGAATAAACACTGGAAACACCAGACCAGGACCTCCCAGCATGCACTGGGACAGGTCACAGGTCATAGACCAGAAGTCCGTGGATGACCAGAGAAACACCAACCAGGACCTCCTTGACACAGCCCCCCTCCCTCACAGTTAGCATGTCACATGTTGACTGTTAGCATGTTGCAAGCTAACAGCTGCATCAGAGGTGAGACTGACAGCTCCAGAAGCTTCCGGTTTAAAGTGGTTTGAAAATGTGGAAATGTTTATTACTCCTGCAAAGGGACGAAATCATCAGGTCACTAAATGGAAGCTCAGTGAGGAAACATCAGGCCGCCATCAGATCACAACTGTTGGCATTTGATAGCATCAAAGTTGCAGCACGCACACTTCCTGTCTGAGGAAGAGGTGGGTTTTTTGTGGCTGACAGCAGAGTGAAGCACGACTGTAATCTCAAAACACCGAAACTCCCTCCCTCCCTCCCACACACACACACACACGCGCACACACACACACACACACACACACACACACGTAATCCTGCATGACAAGGGTATGTTTAAGAGAGTGTTTGGATATTTAGCAATTTGTTTTAAACCAAACTTCAGTCATATAGCTGCTAAATGTGTCTTTTGTATCTTATTATCTTTTTCTGTGTAAGCGTTAAAGCTGTAAGGCTCTTTTTGCTTCCACATGTCAGTGTGTGTTCTGCTGTGTGTGTGTGTGTGAAGTAGAATACGCCCAGTGTCTCCAGAGTTAGTGTGTCCTCCAGAAATGAAGGAGCAAAAGAAGGAGGAGTGAGACCTCCCTGCTGCAGGAACATTAGCATCACACGCTCTCCTTCATTCATTGGCTAATAAAGGCGGCACATTTTGACAAGGGAGAAAATGTATGGAATTAAAAAAAGACGATATCTGCTGCATGGATTTTTAACCTTTTTGACCATCACAAGTCCAACAACGTTACAGAAGTGTAATGCTCAATCTGTTATGGCTCTTTTATTATTAAGTATTAAAGCAGGGATGCAAACTCATCAGGTATGAAAAAGGTGACAAGGATCCGAGCCCCCCGACCCCACGGAATATCGGCTTTAAAATGAGGAATAACAGAGGATGTTAGCAGTCAGAACAACTAAAGCAGCAGTGGTAATAACAGAAACGCCAAAGAGTCACATCTAATAGAAATGTATAAAAGCATTTATTTTAATTGTGTAGCAGTCAGTTTATAATGTTGGCAGCACTGTTGAGCATTTTGAAAATGTATTTTCATGCCTCTGTGCAAGGCTTAGTCTTTCTATCTTTATAGCCAGTGGTGTAAAGTAACTAAGTTCATAAACTCAAGTACTATACTTGGGTACAATTTTGAGATACTTGTACTTTATAAGTATAAGTATTTCAATGTTTTGCTACTTTGTTCTTCTACTCCACTACAGTTCAGAGGTACATAGTGTACTTTTCCTCCACTACATGTATTTAGTACCTTTAGTTACTTTACAGATGTGGATGAATGATGTGAAATATAACCAAG